CATGCACAGGGACAAAAAAAGCGTGGTGGAAGGGGAGCTGGAATTTCCACAGCAGCACATCGTGGCACGGCGGCAGAAAGACTAGGCTGGGAATTAGGGAATCTGGGCTGGAGGTCTGGCTCTGCCCAAAGTTTATGACTTTGGCTGAGTTACCCTTCATTCCCAGGCCTATTTATCAAATTGTGCTCTAGTCACCCTCCAGTTCAAAGCTCCTTACTCACATCCTATGGGGCAGACCCACTTCTGTCTTACACCCAATGGGAGCTATGTTCCCAGAGTATTTTAAAAGGGACACTTTCTCTGTCACTGCTATGGGTGGGGATTAAGGTTAGTGAAGGCGGGGAGTGGTTAACACAGAAGCATACATTTGGATTTTCTCTGTGTACTGCTTCACCCTGTGGGCTTATTGTTCATAGTAACTTAGGAAGACCAAAGGAACAGAAAAAGTCAAATAATTTTTCAGAAGTCCAAAAATAACTAAAAGCAAATGAACATTTGAATTATCTCAAAGTGAAAACTTCAAGTTTGTCCAGAGGATTCCCAAATTCTCACTCTGCCTCGAAGAGTAACTGACTCCTTTTTCTGGGTTCTCCCTCACCCTCCAACACTAGATCCCTTTTCCAGATGGTAGGTCAAGGCCAGATTGCTTTCTAAGTCAAGGAAGGAAAGCACTGTGGTGCAGTGGGCAGTGCTTGGCTTGGGATCAGCAGTCCGTGTCCTTCCTCACTCTTCTGTGGCCTGGGTCAGCCCCTTAGCCAGGCCTCTTGGCACCTGAAAGAGAAGGACAGGTGGCCCCTGAGACACTCCCACAACCACTGCTTGTGTGATGGTTCCCCACCTTTAAGCATCCGAACCACTCTGTTCTTGAAGAAGCAGGAATTGTTTAAGGAATTTGGAAATGTCATAGAAAGGGTGGGAGAGAAAAAAGCCTGGCAGGAAAGTGGGAACAAGCACCAACAAATCTTCAGGCAGACCCCAGCCAGGAGTGGAGTGGGGAGCCTGCTGCCTTAAGGCCACACATGGCCATCCATACCCCCAAGTGCAGCCCCCCAACCAAATCCAAACTTCACAGAGCAAATCCCTTTATTAAAAAGATTTGTTCTCTCAAATTTGGATACAGTCAAAAGACCATACTCGGGACCCATAAGGCCACATATGGCCCCAAAGTTCCTTAGAACCAAAATGATTCCTGCATTTCCCAGAACTGGATGGGGAAAGGTAAGTGGGGTTGACATCCTTCCTCCCGTTTTCTCTGAAAGCCACCCTTTGGCCTTGATCTCTGGTCTCTCTTTATTCCCTAATAAAGACACCGCTGTGTTCTGAGCTCAGAGAGCTCCATGCCTTGGTGAGGCACCTCCCCCAGCAGCCACCACCTCCTCCAGGCTGACCCTGAGCCCTCAGACCTAGTTGGACTATAATAGCCACAACAGTAGAGAGAAGACAGGCTGTGCGTGTGCATGGGGGAAGGTCCCCACTTCCCAGGCAAGGCCAACATCTGGAGAGACTTAGATGTCAGAGAGGGGTTCAGACTGAGTCATTGACGTGCGTAAGAACTGCCAGCATCTTTCCATGTTCCCTCTTAGTAAGCCCCAAGCCTTGCACTTCCCAGGAAAATTAATGGAGTGAGTTTGAATTGAAGAGAGGACATGGAATCCAACTAGAGCCTCTTCCAAAACAGTAACACCCTAAGCCTGCCCTTCCTAATCTAGGAATGGGGCCAGCAAGAGACTGGCCCCACGGCCTTTTCTGTGCTATTGACTTGGCCATCTTCTCAGAAGCAAAGACACCATTCTGTCCATCTGCCTTTCCCCAGGCAAGATAATACATACTTGGCTCCAAGAGAAAAGGGCCTGATAGCTCCTTTTCTAAGAAGGCCAGGAATTTAGTTCTCTCTCTCCACGTGCCATTTTTTTCCCATTAGGAGGAACAAAAGCTGGGTCCCACTACGGAAGCTAAATGTAAGGTCTGTTGGGCTGTCCCTGATGCTGCCATGCTGAGTTACTTGAAGTAGCTCATGTGTCCTCTGTGCGAAGATAGCAGGAACAATGGGGAAGGACACAGGCAGCCATCAGACTGGGTTAACTGTTCTCAAGGAAGAGCTCACTCTGGGCCATGAGAAGGTCAGAAGTGAGCTCACTGCTCTATCTAAATTGCTCTTGCCTCAGGCAGTGCTGAGGCAGAAGTGGAAAGAGAAACAGAGACAGGCAGTGTGGCCAGTGCTCTACCCCGCTCTGTCCTCGCTCCAGGAGGTCTAATACACAGCCAACCCAAACACCCCCCACCAGCCCCACTGTGACTGGCCTGTGAACCCCCCACGGCCACTGCTGCCACTACTGGGTTTTCTGCTGCTCTGGTTTCTCAACGTAGGTGTCTGGAGCCAGCACGGCCCCCTCAACCCTACGCAGAGGGAGCTCTTTTGTGTGTGTTTTCGTCACTTCTCAAGTCTGTCTCCCTTCTTCCCTGTGATCTCAGCTTCTCCTTGGCAGAACAGGTCTTTTGGGGGTGGGAAGGATTCAAGAGAGAGACAGTATCCAGTCTTTAGGACCATCCGGAGAATGCCTCTCAAACCAAAGAAGCCAGTTCCCCTGTAAAAGTTTCAGCTGCAGAGTCAGACATGGAAGGGCAGCATGGAGCCCCAGGGGGCCTGCTCTGGAGACAATGTCCTTTTTTTCCTTTCCCCACCTAGAAAAGCTCCCACTTGTTCTAAGTGACTCTGAGAGTGTTAGACTGCCTGTACTCATGACATACCAAGGCAGCTAGACTGAACCAATATTTACTGACCACCTACTGCAGATGATGCTAGTCCCCATGGAAGAAGCAACAGAAATAAAAGATACGATCCCTAACTGCAAGGAGATGACCCTAAAGTCAGGTCATCTCAAAGATCACCTAGGTCAACCTGCTTATGTATGATATAAGAGTTAAGCCCAGAACACATCCTGGTTAGACCAACCTAACACACAGGACATGGCATTTCAGACACAAAACAAGGTTTCACCCAATTAGGGTTGGTTGAAGACAACCAGCCCACGGGTACAGGGACCATGGACTTTGAGGACATTTCAATGGACAATGAAAATGTGATAAGTTGGGGAAGTCTCCCTCAGAGATGTGGAACAAAATGGGGAAGAATAGGATAGTTAAAAAAAAAAAAAGGAATTTTTATCTATTAAGCAAACGTATTCTACAAATACATATTGGGCGCCCATCCTGTGGAGAACTGTTTAACACCAGGGAATAAACAGGGCTGGCCCCATGTTCTCAGTTCCTGTGTTCGCAGACATCCCTGCCACGGCAGGGCTTTGCCATAGGAGGAACAGCGGGGCTGGAGGGAGCAGAGGGGTCCTGACACACAGAGGCAAATCCGCAGCCTGTTTGCCAGAGCCCCTCATTTGTCTCCAGAGAGACCTGCCAGGAAAGTGGCCACTGAAGGATCCTGGGTTTCAAAACATGATTTGTCATCTTATCTACAGGCCTCAGACATACAGGGAGTGGGGCTTGAATGACATTCTCTCTTCCAGTCAACCAGCTTTGCTAACAACCTCCTGCCCGCAAGGTGCTCGGTTCTCGAATGAGGATAATGACAGTGGAGCAAGAAGGAGGGACAAGGGGAGGAAATAGCTGTCCAATTCTGCTTAGATGTGTTTCAAAGCATCCCGTATGAGATATAAATAAGGAGGAAGAAAAGGTGGGATGATAAGACCTCCAGACCCAGACATTCAACAATCATTTAGTTCCTCTATTTGGAAACTTCAAAGGCTCTTCAGACCATACACTAAATGCACCATCAACAAAATCCCCATCCCTGCTCTTTGTCCCAGGAGTGGTAACAGCACCTACATAGCTGCTTTGCACAGAAAAGCAGGAGCACGCCCCTAACACTGTCTGTTCTGTCCCCAAATCAATTCCTAAGTCTTGTCTCTACCTCAGCTGACACCCTCCCTGGCCCCGGTCTAAGCTATTATCAAATCTTTCTCTCTACTGAGCCACTGCTACTCACATAACTCTCCCAATCAAGCCATTGCCCACCCAGAACCCACTGATCTCATGGTACCATTCCCTTGACACTTTTTAAGGCTTCCCAAGGTATGTGAGCGTGCTTTAATCTGCTTCTGTCTTTAATCTTATCCTGCCGCATGTTGGGAGGCTCCCTCTGCCTCCCTCAAGCCAAAATGAACCTCCAAGTGCAGATTCATTGATGTGTGGGTAGCAAACACCTGATTAACAGCTTTGTCCCCCGCTGGGCAGAAAGTTCCACGCGCACAGTACCTATATCTGTTGTTATCCCCTGCTATTTTCCCACCACCCAAGTACATGGCACAAACTGTGATCATTATCTGAGACTGAATTTTTAAAAATTGCTAGGTCAATGGTTCTCAGTCAGGGTGATTTTGTCCCCACACTCCCCCAGAGTCACAAAGCGACAGGTAGTAATGTCTGGAAATACTTTAGGTTGTCACAGCTGTGGGGGCATCTAAGACGTAGAAGCCCGGGGTGCTGCCAACATCCCAGGAGGCACAGACCCACTGAAAGTTGCCCAGTGTCAACAGTGCTGAAGTTGAGAAACCCTGAGTCAGATGAAAGAGAAGTAGTATTTCTGTTGTGATCATATTGAACTGGGTTTCCTAGGGTCAAGTCCTTATAGAAATACATTACATTGTCACCTCTGGATGCTGTGGGAGACTGAACACTCATGCACACACATTGGATGATCAAATTTCCTACAGGCAAGAGACAAAGTTTGGACTCCCTCAATGCCTGGCACAGGGCTGAGATGTTAGTTGCTCCAGAGCACCTGTCTGGAAAGCCTCATTTCACATAAAAGGACCTCAACCTCAAATGCAGGCCTTGAGTTGCCTTGAAGGGCTATTTCACATATATGACCAAGGTGCAGCAAGGCCAGTGACAGCACAATAGGGTCCCACCCACTGCTAGACCACACCCTTCACCCTCACAATGGCCAAGGCCTTAAATACCCTGACTCCCGGCCTCCGGGCCCTGCAAAGCCCCTCATTTTGGCAGAAATTACAATGACGACCAGCCGCAAATTTAAGAGTCATGGCATGAGGAGGGGCAAGAACCGATCTCCTCACAAGGGAGTCAAGAGAGGTGGCAGCAAGAGAAAATACCGGAAGGGCAGCCTGAAAAGTAGGAAAAGGGGCGATGATGGTGAGTGAGGGATGAGGTAGAGAGTGGGCAAACAGGGGCACATTGCCCCGGGCACGTGCCTCCTGGAGGCAGCTCTCCTACAACCCCGAAATCTCAGCCTGAGATTCTTGCCAGGGACTAAGTTCAGACCAGGGCCAGGCTATTTATTGATAGGTGTTTTCTAATGCGTGTCCCTGTCGTGCACCTGTCTTCCCACAGCCAATCGCAATTACCGCTCCCACTTGTGACCCACCAGTGGGCTCTGTCCTGGTGGACCTCAAACAGCACCAGGCAGCAGCAAGAGAACAGAAGGGGGACTGCCAAGAAAAACGCAACAGACCAAAGCCAGAGGAGAGCCTATGGGGTGTGGACAAAATGCCAGTCGCGATGAAATGAGGAATGTATATGTTGGCTGTTTCTCCCCAACATCTCAATAAAATTTTGCAAACTCAAACATCTCTTGAGGTTTTTTGATTGGAAAAACTTGGCCTGTTTCGGCGATCACCACGTGAAATCATTACAAACAGGCTATCACCATATTTAGGTTATTTGTCCTGGGGAAAATCAGTGCCAATTATGAGCCAAAGGATGGCAAAATCAGCTTGTCAAGAGGTTTAGGATGTAGGGAGGGATGCAGAGATTACCCTGTCACTCTGATATGGCTTGGATTTTCCAGTCTTGTTCTTGAATCTTCCAGTCTTATTGAAAGGACAAGTCAGATCAGCACAACTCTATGACAACTCTGATGTCACAATGAACCTTGGTCTGGTGTGCTTGGAAGTTCTTTACTGGTCATTTCTACAGCACTGGCTCTGGTCACTCAGGAAATTCCTGATTGACTTTGGCCATTGTGATATGGTTTAGACACAACCTCTCAGCATTCACCCACTTGAGGGATCATTTTAAGTGCTTCCTATTGCTTCAGAAGTAGTAGCACCAGGATAGAACTGAGACACTTACACCTGCTAAAAGCTTTCTGGGGAGGGAACCAGGAAGGAAGCAGGAAGGAATATATGCAAGAAGAAATGAGGGGCCTTGAGGTTAGACATGAAGTTGCCAGTAGTGACACGGTGTGAGAGGAGGGCACTGTTTGAGTCCCATGTGGGTGTGTAGCTACCAGGATGTCAGGATAGGAAGACTGTTGACAAGGGGTGTCCCTGTGGGTCAGACTCTAAACAGAACATTCATTTCTCCAATCTCTCCAACCTAAAAAACCCAGGTCATTTTACCAAGGTGATTGGTCCTCACAACCCTTAGGAATGTACACACTTCTTCAGAACCATTTTTCAAGTTCATGTGAAAAATCATCTCCCCTTACCATGAGCAATAGAGATGATTCAAATTCATCTTGGAACAGAACTTCAGTTTCCCTCCTATCACTCAGTTTCCTCCTCTGTAAAGTGAGGGTAAAGACAGTGCCTGTTTTACCTCCTAGATGCTCCTTCTGTTTGTCCCTGTTTCTCCAGTGAGTCCCAAATATTCCTAATAATCCTCCACGTGTTTGTCCACAGCGTGACTGAACACAGCTCTAGCTGATGGACAGTGGCCAGATCTGACCCTGCTCTCCTGCCTTCTGGAGTTCCTCGGCCTCTTCCCAAAGAAAATCTGAAAGCTCCTTGCAACACACAAAATCCATAAAATAAATCCAAAAAATAAAACTTGTAACTTTCATGTCAATCTTTTGCGGCTCTTACTTTCAGTCCTTCTAAACTTACCCTCGTAGGTCAGCTTCTCAGGAAGCAGAGATGGGAGATGCAGTGTGAATGCAAGGTGTTTCTCAGAGGCTGGTACTTGAAGGAAAGGGGCAGGCTGCAGGATTGCACAGAGTCCAAAAAAAGCACTGTCCAGTCCATCAGGAAGTACATAGCCAATTCAAGGGTCCTGCATGAGGTCAAAATGGCCAGGCCTTTGTACCCCACTTACCTGGCTGGGCTGCCCTCATAAGGGGCGACCTCTGCAGCAGACCCTGATGGGGCTTCTTGCTTGGACTTCCACCCTCACCTCAGCATCTATCCTAATTGCTTGTAGATGGGTTGCATCCCTTCCCAGCCCCCAGCCCCTCCTTCCCACACCCCCACGTCTGCAGAGCTCACTGCCCTGAGACTTCTGGCTATAACCGTGTGCCCTGAGCTTTCAAATGCTCTCGTCACAACTCACCCCTTTGCACTGTGCTCCCCCATGCAATGTGCACATGTGCCAATGTGCACAAAGATGACCTGTAGACAAACTCAACCATCAGGAGCAAATGAGAACATCGGTGATACAAAGAGTGCAACATCTACTTCTCCAAGGAGACTCCTTATAACCAGGGAGCCAGCCTGGACAAGCGGTATCCCAGTGGATCAAATGCTAAATAGGACATTCATTTCTCAGATCTCCCAAACCTAAAAACCCAGGTCATTTCACCAAGGTGCTCCATCAGGAGCTTACAGGAAAACAGAGCCCCGTAGATGGTCCAAATGAAGAGAATGTATCCAGGGAAGTATTTACAAAGGAGGAACACCTAAAGCCTAGTAATAGTGGCATCAGACCCTTAAGTCTAAGACACTTAAGAGAACCAAACAGCAGTGCAGGACCCAGACTGAGTATGGGGAGGGGTGGACCTCCTGGTAAAACCATATGTACTTAGGAGGACCACAGATACTGTCTGTCTCAGAAGCAGGAAAAAAACACCCTGACATTTCTCTCATCTCCTGCTACTGCTGTTCTCAGTGGCCAAACTCAATCAGAAGCCAGCAGATAAGGGGTCCCAGGAGACACAGGACACCAGAGACCCCCTCTCAGGACATCAATATTAGAGAATAGCTCTAAAACTCCAACGGTTACAGCTAGTATAACTTCATGGGAAAAACTTCTTCTTCCTTTCCTGGACGTTAGCACCCTGCTTGTTTCCTCCATGAGACGTCACAGGCCTAAGTCCCTTAAGGAGCACATGGCAGGGAGGCAAAGCAGAGTCCGGAAAGGGGCTCAAAGCTGAGTGCCCAGGGGTCCTGAGCCCTCATCTGGAAAACCTCTACATCCTTTGCATAACTGCACTACCTCCAAACCAATGCCATACACTGTTCTAACACAATGCTGTTGCATTTTCACAATTGTCTAAACACAGAATCTAGTACTCATTAGGATGGGTCACGGTGAAGAGCAGGGACTAGTCAGAGCGGACAAATGTGATGGCTTCAGTCTTTGCCCTCTAGGGCTGTGAAGGAACGGCAGCTGCCCAGAAACTCTGTTTTACAGTAAGAAGATTTTCCAGGCCCACATGTTGGAAACTTTCCAGTATTAGCATTGACTTAGTGCCCCCCACCCCACCCCAGGGACATTTGTTTGGTCCCTTTGTCCAGCCCCTGCCAGATGCACATAGTGGTCTTCTGACTGTAGTGATGCTCGTTCCGGAGACTTGAAGACCTCACTCCTGGTGCACTTTTTACTCCTCCATCTCCCTGACCAAGGAAGACTTTGTTCGCCTCCCCAGTTTCTTTCTGGAACACGATGTCCTAAAGCCATCATTTGTGTGGATTTTTGGAAAGTGAAAAAAAAAATTAAAGAGTCTTGGCCACTAGCCTCTTTGGGTCACCTTGACCTTCAAGTGAGCTGACTTGGACAGAAGGCCTAGCTCCCCTGGCTTCGAGGCCCAATGTGAGTGGTGAGGCCCAGATGACCCACATGTGGGTGGAGAGCACAGCCAGCTCCCACCTATCAGGCAAGGCTGCTTCCACACGACCCCGGGTGGGACCAGCCACATCTGTGAGACTGTAGGCAAACAGGAAGTTCTGGAGAAATGCTCAGGGCTGTGTCGAGGCAGTGAAGGCTCAGAAATGGCAGCTGGGAGGGGACCCTGTATTCTGGGGTGGTTGGTACACACTGGACATGGCCTGGGGCTTGACTGTCAGGGTCACACAAAGGTTCAGTCCTGTGAGACCAGAGAACAGCAGGAGCTGAAAACTATCTCACTTGCTGGCTTCTAATCTGAGCAGTCACTACCAGCCCTACCCTGGGGTCACCCAAAGCGGCAGCCTCTCAATTCCTGGTTTACAAGAGTGAGGAAACCAGCTATTTCACTTCAACAGAGACTGCCTCTCCTTGTGTCTGGCCCCACCAAGCCTCTCTCTCTCTCCAACCTTTCATCACTCTAACCATGAGTCTCTCCTCGGGCTGAGCCCTATAGTCATTCCTGCCCTCTGAGCTCAGTACCCCTCAAGTGCTGCAGATGATAACACTCCCCCAGCATCATGGTACAGGAGAGAGGCCAGAATCAAAACCCAGGTATCTGGATTCCATCAGTGCCAACAATTCTTAGTGTATGACTTTGATCAGCCCTTCAGTCCTGTTTCATTCTCAGCTTCTATACACCTCCTCTCTTGGCACTGGGACCATGTCATCTCCCTCAAGGGTACAATTCCACCATCACTGCTACCAAGCCTAAGCTCAGTCAGAAGGGACAGCACCTTAGGTAGCCAGTAGGGCACAGGACAAAAGAGGTGGGCACTGGGACCATTGGCCCTGAGCCTGAATGCCCACTCTGCTAACTGTGTGATCTGAGGTGAACTTTCTAACCTCCGTTAGCTTCATCTGCCATATGTACAGAATGACAGTCATCAAATCTACCTCACGGGGTGCTTGTAAAAACTTAAAACACTATGAATTCTAGGCCTTGAGTAAGTTGTATGTGCTCTCACTTCTCTCTCTGCTTTCATTATGCCTATCTGATCCTGATTATACATGACCCTGAATTCCAGACCTGAGTCCCAAGACGTAACACCACATGTGGTCCTCTCCACCTGTGGGCAGACCCCCCACCATGGTCCCTGCCTGCTCTGCAGACAGCTTACCCTAGACCACCATTGTGACCTCAACCTCTCATGGCCCTTTTGCTTAGGCCAGGTCCTGAGATCAGAAAATACCTATATCTCCCTGGGGCCTGCTTTTCCCTCCTATAAAATGTAAGAATTGGGGGTGATAGTATCTCCCCAACTAGACTGTTGGAAGCAGGAGCAAGTCATTTATCTGTGAGGGACAGAGGATCACATCAGGATACACAAACAGCTATTGCACCTTGGGAAACAAATGGATGGATCCACCTCTTAATATGTAATAAAAAATAAAGTTTGAGTATGGATGTTGGTGGAAAAGGATCAAGGGATGGGTTAATAAAACTCATCAATTACGATGAGCATTTTTTTCCCCTTAGCAACAGGAGACCAGCTCTATAATTAATTAGCTATAAAGTCCTCAGGTCTTACCCAGAGGTGGTTTACCAAAAAGACAGAGCTCCAATTTCACAATCAGCAGGGATCCTCCTCAAAAGTGATTTAAAACAAAAGCTGCAGCAGGGACACAGCTATTAGCAGGACTGAAAGCTGGACTTCAGTGAACTTCTGATTCCTTCAGGAACACAGACGAGCAGGAGTGCAGCAGGTGTACGCCGCGCTTCTGAAACTTGGGTGTGC